ATATTGCAAAAGTTGGCTTGTGATCCAATGTGGAAATCAGATGGAGGATTTAAAAATAATTATATGAGCAAATTGCTTAAATTATCTTGCGTAAATTACCTACTTTTACCAAACAAGTCAGCCCACATATTGAATCAAAAGTTAAGTGGTTGAAAAATAGGTTCCATGCAATTGTTGAAATGTGCAAAGAAAGTGGTTGTAGTTGGAATGATGCTGAGAAAAAGATTTCTTGTGAAAAACAGTGGTATGATGATTGGTGCATGGTAAGAAATTGATTACTTTTTACATTCTGATATGTCCTTTTTCAACATTTTATTAAGATTATTATTTATCTTTCTATTCTATCTCTAGACTCATAAGGATACGAAGGGCCTTTGGGATGTCAAATTTCCATATTTAGGAGATCTTGAAATTGTATATGGAAGAGACAGAGCCACTGGAAATGTTGCTGAAGATTTTGCACAAGCTGTCCAAGATATGGAAGATGTCCAAAATTTGGAGGAAGGAGATGAAGGGCTTGATGCTATGTCAAACTCGGATAATGATAACCTTCAAGAAGATGAAGTAAATTCCATGGAGCAATCAACTCAACCAAGCTCAACAAGCACAAGAAATTCCAAGAAACAAAAGAAACAATCACCTCCCATTGCAAATGTGTCAAAAAATATGAAATCTGCATCAACAACAAGGAGTGATCTTGATGCATCATTGCAATTTCTCACCAGCAAATTTGAAGATTTCGTGGAGGGATGATAGAGCGATTATTCGGCACATTTTGCACTGTTATTTTGTCATAATTTTGGCTATTCACGGTACTAAGAATTGGAATTTCACTCATATTCGATATTTGTGTGAATTGTAGGTGGTAGGCATGAAAAATGATCTCGCGGGGTAAATTTCCAGAAGACTTTTCGTCTCAGGGCGTGGCCACGTCTTAGAAGGTGGACGAAACCGAAAGCCGGACTGCGGTCCACGTGAACCGCGAGAAACATGGGATAAAAACTCCAAAAGGCTAGCTTTTGTTGGGAGGAATTGGGCCAGACGTCTGGAGAGCTCCTGCGGCGGCTATAATGAAAGGAAAAAACAAGATTCAAAGCATCACTACTTTTAGCCTTAGTTTTACCTTTTTGCAAGATTGGTCAGACGCTTTTGTTTTTCTTTTGTTTTCTTCTGCGGCTTTGGGTCAGACATTGGAGACTTTCTCCTTTTCTGTAGCTTTTGCTTTTATGCGACTCTGACTCCCGAATTCGCTCTTTTCGCCTTTGACAATTCTCCGTTGGCTTTTGCTTTGTAATTGTGGCTCCAATACAAGACAGAGCCAGGTTTTTCATTGATTGTTTCTTCGATTAATTCATCCTCCCCAATTTCTGGGCAATTGATTCTTGGGAAATTAATTGAATGAATTCAATTAAATCACGCGGGATTGACACGATGAGGAGCGGCTAATTTTCTCCTCTACCCAAAGGTCGACGCGAGGGCGCGGTCCATAATATCTGTGAGATCTAACCGAATCTTCATTATTTCCTCCAATTAATTGCTATTCGTGCGTTTCCTGAATTAATTGCTCATGGGTATTTTATTAATTGAATATCAACGGCCGGGTATTTGATTTAATTTAATAGCCTACTGCCACGTTAATTAAATAGAATCCGTAATTGTTCATTTAGTTAACACCCCGTGGCAACCACCATAATTGGCTTTATGATGGGGAAACGCAAGATCTAGCTTAAATAAACTCTCTTAGCGTGTTTATTGGTTAGGGTTGGGTTCTTCTAGCTCTAATGCAATTGGATAATTAAATTCCTACGGTCGTACCTAGGGTTGTTATCTGGTTAGGGGAGCAGTTAATGGTCGTACCTTGACTGTCGAAAAGGTAAGGAAGAATTGGTTATCAGAGCTTGTTGATAATTATAACCAACCTAGTGACAAATGGATGAAATATCTTTGCATCGATGATCAGTTGAATGGACCGTATCTGAAAAGTTGTACCTTTGGTTAGAGTCGTATTGGTTATTGATTACTTTCTATTTATTTCTATTAGTTGCTTTATTAGTTAGTTAATTAGTTATTTCATATTCTCCAGAAACCCCCCATACTTCGGACTCTAAAAGAAATAAGTTATCCCCAATCCCTGTGGATTCGACCCTACTCACCGCTATATACAAAATCTGTATTTTTCTCGAGTAGGTAATTATTATTGCACAGGTTCGGCACCTGTCAATTTTTGGCGCCGTTGCCGGGGACTGGTGCCTGATTAATTTGTTTCTTTTTGAGTTCATTTTTTTTTTATTTTTCTCTTTTTTTTTGTATATATTTTATGGCTGCTAACATTCCGTATTTTGGTGATAGACTGGATTTTAATTTTACAAGGGGTTATGAGACTCATACTTTTTCTAATGATCAATGGGCTGTTGCAAATTGTGGAGCTTATTTTGCTTCGAATTTTTCACCCGACATATGCCCTGCATTTCAAGATGGTCGAAGTACTCCAATCGATACTTTTGGGGATTTTCCACCTCAATATCAAACGTGGCATGACCCTTATTCAAACGGGTATGAGCAAGGATGGTGAGATGATTCCACTTTTAATTATGAACAAAGGCCAATAGATTTTCAACAGCTAGAGTCTCAAGGACCGTCATCCATGTCAGATATGTCTCTTGAAGAAATAGTTGAATTAATAGCTACTAACACATATCAAATTCAACAGGAGACATATCAAATTCAACAGGAGACACGTCAATTTCAACAGGAGACACAAAGGTTGATTAAAGAGATGGAAGATGGTAGGCGTGAATTGGCATCTACAATGAGCAAATTGATTTCTCCATTTTGTGAAGAATTGCCCTCAGTGACTATTATCGACCATGAAGAAGATGATGGTATAATTATCCTGACAAATGACATGAAACTGCAAGAGTCTCATGAAGAAGGATCTAAAGATGCAGTTGAAAAGAAAGTTGAAGTGCAAGACATGAGACCCCAATATCAAATTGTTCAAATGAATGAATCTAGTGAACAATCTCCAAATGCGGTGACATCTCCTCCATTCCTTAATCAATATTTTTCTAACTCTTATTCTTCAATTCCTGTTGGTGAAATTGATTTTATTATACCAGAAGATTTTAAATTTCATGACAGGAATAAGTTAAGGGTTGCGATGGCAAAATATCTCGAACCAATAAGTGCTCGTGATGGAGGAGTGACTGAAGATTTAGTGTCATCACTTGTTTGTTTGCCGCCATCTACTAATCCATGGAAGACCGTAGCTCGTGGACTCAAGAATTACTCTATTTACGAGGGCTATCAGGATTACATAGAAGATGAAGCACTGAAACGAGCTACACGATTTTATCCTCCGTGAATAAACATGACGATGTCTAGCCAAAGACATTAAAGAAAGGCGCTGCTTGGGAGGCAACCCAAGGATTCTTTTGCTTTAGTTTTCTTATATTTTTGGAATTTTTATTAAGTGTTAGTGTCATTTAGTGGATTGTTGTTTTGTGGCAGGAAGCTGGCAGTTGAACATGCCCACACTAGGTGGTCACGCCTAAGCAGTGAAGTTTTGGAATTGACAGTCAGAAGACTATAGCTTCCAAGGCGTGCCCACGCCTTCCAGATGTTTTATCACAAAAAAAAACTGTATAAATCGTGGTATTGATTTGCTAACCACATCCAAAATGAAATTGGTAAATTGATAAACGTACAAATTTGGTATGTACCACTTTTAATAAATCGAATTAGAATTAGGTGTGGAATCGGTAATGGCTTCTCTCAAGTTGATGCGCACGGATTTCAAATTCATTTGTGGTGATTAACGATTATAATTTTTATGCATAATATACACCTAATTGTATTCTTATCAATTACATATTATGTATAATATTTATATATCATTTATATAATTATCATACAACCATATATTAGATACAGAATATATATATATGTATGGACACACACATATATGAAAATTAATATATGGGTAATAACAGCAAAAGAAAATAGTAGTCAACCACATAAGAGAAGGAAAAAATAAAAATAAAAAAAAGGACAAGTAGAAAAAAAAAAAAAAAAAAAATAAAATAATAATTAATATGAAAATGGCACTTTGTCCTAAAACAAAACAGAGGCAAAGTGCCTATTTATTGATTGAGCGAGTAAAATGCAATTGAGGGTAAAATTCAAGCGAGTTTAATGTTTTTATCCCTCCATTTGTTAGAGTACAAACAACCATATCCCAGTTCAGAGAGTTTTGAACACATGGATGGATGGATGCGCAAATATTGGATTGTACAGGGGCCTCTAGCTGCATTTGTTACAAGGTCATACATTGTCCAGATTGGTGAATATACCTGGCTAAAAAGTATCGATCAAAGTCCATTGGGTACATACCTCGTACTATTGGCAACTTCTCATCCTAGATCTGACAAGAAGTCTAAGATTCCAACCATTCAACCTTTGTCATTGAGTTATAAAACTAATGGCATTTTTAGAAGAAAATCCAGCAGCCACTCGTGATAACAGAGACAAACAAGGGAACTCAGTTGCAAAGGACAGTGATGCAAGACATAGAACTCTGCATATTCGTTGAGAACACTTTGTACCAGTCGAACATATATCCAGAAAGCATTATGTTACAGTGAAGTTGAATGGCAACTTTTGCTGTTCCCCGTCATCCATCCCAAGAGTGGAATCACGTTCAACATTTGCAGCGCAGCTACCTTAGCGTCCAAACTCAAAAAAAGAGGCTTTTAAGTTTGGAAAAGGAGAGAATGACCTCCTCCACTCAAAAAGTTCTATCAGATTCTATAAGATCACAATGTAAGCAGTTTCAAATTTTAGTAGACAGTAATCCAAGAAATATAGAAGTTGTTCCCACATTCACTACATAACCTCTAGCTCAGGAAACATTGATCTGTAATAACGAGACAGAAGGCTATGGATACATACAGTAATAAAAAGTGCAACCTAGATTCTGTTGACTTCGGAAGAATCCCTCAACCGCTAATCTAAGAGAAGATTAATGGTACAAGTACAATAAAATCAGCTTTTCCCAAAGAATCTAGAAAGTGGCAAAGGCCCGTCAGTTCTCCACTATCACTGCTGGATTGCTTGGATCTTGATCGATGCTTTTTTTCTTTCTTCCTTCTCTTAGACCTCGACTTTGATCCTCTTGATTCATCATCACTACTTGAAGACTCTGAGGGTGAACTTGAAGAACTAGAATCTGAATATCTCCTCGAATGCTAAGAATATATAATCCAAATCAGGTATTTCATAACATGAAACAAAGAAGATCATAGTGGCTTCATTCATATTTGTTAACTGTAACCACACAGCAGATTCTGTTCAGATGATTAATCGTTAATGGCTATAACAAAAGTCATAAGTTCTCTACGAGTACTGTACTTCCCTGCTTGCTGAGAGAAGAATCAAAGAGACACCACAACACAAGTAATACCAAAAACACTATAGCATTTCTTCCCTGACTCACCGAAAAATGCTTGAGGTAGGGGCTGAGTTAAAATCCAATACTAAATCTTTCATTTCTTCATGCATATGGAGCATAAAATTACAACATATTGGTCAAAACTTAAGTGGAATCTACATCTTGCAATGCAAGTATGCGACATTATTGTACAGCATCAAAAGAGCAACAGAAAAACAAATGAAAACCATTTATGTGCACCCAAACAGCTTTTCAGGTAATTTGATGAACCCTTGCACTAATCGATGCTCCTCAACTATGGAGAATCGTATTAATCCACTAACCTTAAAATGTCAAAATAAAAGTAGAAAATTTCCAATGATGAGAACCTCAAAAAGAAGCTCCATAGACCAATTTATCTCAGGTAGCTTACAACTTATAGATTACATACACCGCAAGGGCAGTGAAATTGGTTAACCCATTGAAACCAGCTATCTTATTGTAGACAAAGATTGAAAACATTCTACTTAAAGCAAAAATGTGGAAAACAGATGAACTAATTGACTGCCAAGAAACCTTTATATTGGAACCGTAATTGCGGTTGAGCAGGTGAATAAAACTCTTTCAGCGAATATGAACTCAGCGCTTTCTGAATGGTTGACTAAAGAAGTGGAAAGGATGGAAGAAGTCACCTCTACCACATCCCCATCTTGTGAAGAGCAGAAACTCGTTAAATTTCAGTCTGATAAACTGGTAGCAAGAAATCCCCCACCCCAAAAAAAAAACCCCCAATTTGCACTATTTGAACCAGGGTCCTGTCAATCTTCTATTTGATTGACTGCTTATGAAAAGAAGTGACGACAGGAACTTCCATTATCTATGATTGAGCAAAAAGAATACCTTCCAAGTTCGCTACCATTTTTTCTCATGCAAAAGTTCTCATGAAGGGCATCCGTCAACAAGGAATAGATTACCTAACAGATCTTGCATTGTGATAATTACAGAAAACACTACATTCATTATAGATATCGCATAAGAATTTTCATTATAGACGTACGCATAAGAATCAGATTTAGTAAAACCATGAAGAAGGACAAACCTTATCACAAGTTTAGCACCATGTGGACAGGGCCAAACTCAAAATAACTGCTTATATGTTAAATGCATCACGTGGATGTTATCAAAAAAAATTTCTTAATTCCAAAAGACTGTTTGGTACTTTACCTACTAAATTTGTATGGTTATATACATTTCTATTTTACTCTAAGCACAATCACAAAAAAGATTTGAAAAAAGAGGAAAAAGAATAAAGAACACTTTTGAGCGCACCTTTCTCTTCTTGCTGCTGCGCTTCTTTGAATCCTTATCTTTCTTTTCTGGAAGAATAAAAGTTCACCACTCAAGAAATCTAATTATGTAACTAGTAACAAGAATATGCTCTTCCTTTCACTACATAATACATTACCTTTTCTGCGGCCAGATTTCCTGCTTGAGTGGTTTTTCCCTTGAGAAAGTTTGAGAGCCCTTTCAGCATCTAGTTGAGCCCTGTACTCCCTCATCATTCTATCCTTGTCTGCTTCTAACTCCCCTTTTTCATTTCTTCTTTCCTAACAGAGTAACCCATGAGAAAGCAACAAGAGAATGCAATTCACAAAATCAATTACGAGACTCACCACATCAAACCTCATCACAACCAGAATCTTTTATCTGGTTATCTTCGGAAGACATAGAACAACAAATGTCAAGCCAAAATATCTCATAACAGTCACAAAACTTAAGTTGAATATGCTCAAGAATGCCATTTTGCCCACCCCAATCTAATCTGCACACTGGACCATCCATAACGTGACTACAAATACTGCAACTTTAATTCTTTAAGACCACCAAACCAAAGTCAAATTTCATTATATGGAATCCTTTTCACAGAAGAAAAGGATAATGATACACCCCCAAGATCAGAGGACCTAGTCGCACAACCCAGGACACAACATAGAATTGAACATCTAGTCTCAGGTCCTTTTTTGACAGAATGGATGTGACTTGTTGTCCACAGGAAGTTCGAATTAACTTGTAAGCCACTCAGGCACAATGAGAAAACCAGCAGTTACAATTCCTACAACTGTCCAAAATCTGAAGGGTCAATAGTCTGTGTACCTTTAGAGTTCGTTTATGTTGATCCCAACACCATTACAGAAATGCAAGCATACTATCTCATACATCTCAAGAGCCCAGTATGTCTTCCCCAATCTTTAAATGCAATTTCATGCATTCTGAAATTAGTAAGCTGTAAAGCCAGTTGTTTCTTTGTTCAAGATTTTCTTTTGAGAGCAATATCAGGAATCTTGAAACAAAATTAGAGGAGCTAACTATTACTATTTGTTTAAAAGCATAACATCTTTCAATAATGTTTCACCAAATGTAAGGATAACAAATATATGCTTTGACAACAGCAAACAATGCAAAACGAAAATGAGTTATGAAGCAATCATGAGGTACATCTTTCCATGTTGTATGTGGCAATAACTCAACACCTTTGAGCAGTAGTCTAATCGAGCTTTTTTGCCCTTGCAACAAATCACAGCAGTCAAACTGTGGAGGTACTAAGACAAGATCAAACACAAGAACATCCAGCAGAATACCTTTTGCTTCCTTTTGAACTCTTCCCACGTAACAGTATGAGATTTATTGAGACTTGCCAAACGAGCAGCATGCCACTCTGGTGAATGAAAAGAACCATCCACCTGCGACAGTCCTCATCAGAAATGCACAGGGCAAAACCACTTTGCCAACTCAAACTCAGTAATCTAGATCCATTACATGTAAAATGAAAGGTTATGCGCTTGACAATGATCTTAATCAGAGCAACCAAAGGAAGAACTGAATACAAAGACTAGTCTACTTCACTGCTAATACAAGATATGAATCGGCTTCAATAGAAACATAATACCAATATACAAACACCCAATGCTTCAAGAATTATGGCGCACTTTACTAGTAATTTCAAACACCGTTAATCACATCCTCATAGATTTCATAGAATCGCATCATTTACGTAGTTTTCACTTTTTCCTGAATCAAGCAATAGAGTCTTCTTCTAGCTTATAGACTGACCAAATCTCTTTTAAACAAACCCCAATTAAATTTCAAGCCACAAACAAAAGAAAAGCATCAAAACAAAAAAAATAACAAAGCACTTATGTCATCCATTTAATTCACGACCCAAAACTGTAAGTTATCCAATCATTGACAGCTAAATACTAGCAGCAAATTAAGGCTATCCAAATTCAAGCTTGATTTTAACCTTTTAGTCCAATTTTTCACATGCACCAAAACTCTCGGCCCAATTTCTTGAAATCATCCAAAAATCTAAAAAAATAAATGAAAAAAATTCTGCAAACATCCCAGATAACACCAAGAGTAAAATCCGATATTCATAAAACAAAAAAAAAAAGAAGAAAAAGGATAGCCATGGTAGTTCATCAACCAAAAAAAAAATCATTCACAAGGCATATATTTCATTTGGTACAAAGGAAAAATGGTTCAAAAAACAGAAAAGGAAAAATAGAATGGAAGGGTACGAACCATGCCGTCATTGATCTCTTCAGGAGCAGCAGAGTTGGCACCCAGCCTTGCTCTTTGCATAGCTTTGTAAGCTTGATTTTTCCCCATTTTTTGTTGCAAGTTTCTCTTTAATTTCCTTTCTTTCTTTCTCCAATGAAAATAAGGAAATCAACGGAGCCCAGATGGGGAAATAAGAGGAAAATTACAGAATTTGGAAGAAAACCCAGGTATTCAAAACAGGTGATAAGTCTATATTGGAGCCATCATCATATTATAGTGAATCAGAGGCTTCTGAGATGAGCTGCAGAATTTAGAGGTTTTTTTACTGTGTGTTGTGTGTGAGAGAGAAGGAGGAGGGGATTGGACTCCGGACGACACATACGGGAAACTAAATAAATGAATAAAAAATTATTTTCTTTTCTAGCCAGGCTATAATTTTTCTACCACCTAATCAATTGTTTTTGTGGGATAATTTCAGAAAACTCCCCTGAGGATTCTGATTATTTCACTGTCCTCCCTTAAGATTTTGAAAATTTTATCAACCTCCCCAAAGATTTATTATCTTGTAACATTTAGGTCCAACCAACAATTAACAAGTTATGTTAGGAGAGCAAGATAATATGATTTTACCATCGTCCCTCATTACTAAATTGTTTAATTAATCTAATATCAACCCAAACATTAAAGAAAATACTAGAATTTACTATTTATCGTAAGGAATTAAATCATATATGGTATCAAAAATAGTACATCATTCTATATATTTCACTTAACATAAGATCCAAATTACTCTTTTCAGTTTCAAACTTATTGTCAAACAAGATCAACAACAAATGATTAAAAAAATATAACCAAAATATTTTAAAGAGTGAACTTTAATACCATAAAAATCTTAGCAACTAATGTTAATATGTTGACAAGAATATTTATGATATTAAACTTTGTTCTTTATAATATTTTGGTTGCAAATTTTTTGATTATTTGTTGTTGATCTTGTTTGAGAATGAATATATGATTGAAAAGAATAATTTGTATCTTATGTTAAGTGAAAATATAAAATAACATAGGGTAAGGCTAAATCCATACCCTTCTAGTCTAAATCCATACCCTTTACATCAAAATGTCTATGAAACCCATACTATTTATAAGGATTTCATAGGAACTTCTTCAATACCAAAACAAGCCTTTTGTGGTGGGCAAAGATGGAGTTAATCAAGTTCATCCTTTCCCCTACTTTACTGCATCCTTTTATCATTCCTTGTCCTTACCTTCCAATATTGAAGACTTATAGTAGCAACTATCATCATCAACTAAAATGTACCAGAGCATAGCAAAAATTTATCAAAACATTTCTCATCTTCTCATACATAATAAGAGATAATAATATTGTTTCAACCAATGCCAACAAAAGGAATGAAGAAAAACATCAAGAAATTTAGAAATTAACATATGTAAGTATATCTACTGGATATCCAAACAAATACATGAATATGAATTCTCTATAGAAAATTGAAATCTAAATGTCCCTATTATATAAAACAAAACCCGTCACAACCCCATAATGCTATTTGAAACAAAATTTCTCGTCTGTTGTCTTCCATGATGCATGCAGCTAATGCATTTGAGTCTGAAAAAGAAGAAAAAATCCCATGTTAGGGATAGACATAATCAATGGAAAGGAATGTGTTTGTACACCAATTCTTGCAAATCATACCAAAATCTAGCTCCACAAGAAGTCATCAGTTGCACTAGATATAGTGCCAATTGAGTTGTTTTCTATCATTTCACTATGAGATAATGGCACATAAAGGTTTGTGATCTTTTCACATGTGCGAGAGTTATGACCAGAACCTTTGCATTTGCTACACCTTCTTGAATTTTCGACATACTCTAAGGTTGAAGGATTACGCCTTGTAGAATTAGTACTTCCTTTTCTTTTCAATAGAGATGGACAACCTTTTTGAGTGCGAATCTCAAGTTCATAAACCACTGGAGTTTTTTCATTCACAAGTTCAGAAATCTTGTTTCTTATTTCTCTTTTTCTATCAAGTGGCCATTCTTGAACTTGTCATGTAACTTCTCCAATCAAACTTTGGAAGGAATTTCCTCAATATCTTGGACTTTCTCATTATCCTTGAATGACCTAATATCAAGTCTCCACTATGAATGAATACTGTCAAGCTGAATTAAATTCAAGTTCCTCATCTCATGTGCACAAGGAAGACCCATCGTAGTCATGAATTGATTTTCACAAGGTAACAACTCATCGTCAGATTTAGCTAATTCATACTACTTCTAAAGTTTATCTAATGCAAACAAAGGCATGCAAGTGATAGGTTCACTGAAAAAGGAATAAGGAAGCGATGCAGAACTCTAGTCTTTTCACTTTCAAGTTGTGTCTTGATTGCTTGAAATTGATGCTTGATAGCATGACCTATTTTGTTCTTCACCTCACATAGATTACCACTAGATACTTGCAAGTATTTCTTAATCAAAGCATGTGCACTTTTAGCTCTTGAAGTAGCACGTTTCTAAAATTAGCGTATTCGTTTGTCCATGCACTCATAAAATGCTTTTTAGAAGGTAGCTAAGTAGTTTGAATGTAATCCAAAGCATGTTTCTTTTCTGCATAAATATACTCAAAATTTTGTAGGGCTTCTTCATATTCCATTTGAGTTGTAGAATTAACTACACCAGTCCGAGATGATAAGAATCCATTCCAATCTTCTCTTTCCATAAATTGATTTTTGCAACGTGACACTATATTCTTTTCAATATGCCAGACACAAAAAATGTTCATAGTTGATGGAAATACAATTTGAATAGCCTTCATCAATGCCAATTCTCTATCAGTGGCAACAACAGTAGGCTGAAAATCATCACCAAGTATACTAGAAAATATTCTTAGTGCCCGTATATAATCTTCTTTTTCCTTATTTTTCAAGAAAACAAAACAAGAGTAGAATGATTTATTGAAACTTGAACAACCAATAATCTCAAGCAGTGTCATTTTATATCCATTGGTCTTATAAGTGCAATCCATCAGAAAGACATTAGGATAACTTCTACTCAATACAATTAAAAAAGGATGATCAAAGAATAAGTGTGTTATCCGTCCATTAGGAACTTGCATTGAGCTATAGATAAAACCTTCCTTACCAAGTTCCTCCAACAAAACTTGTATAAGTGTGCGACCAAATAAATATTGTTTTCACAACTTTGCCTTCAAATTGTTTACCATCTTAGATATTGCTTGAGTGTTGGCATTGTGTTGCCTTATTGTAGAAAGAATTTGACGAGTTGGTATACCATACTTGATCAACTCTTCAACATCTATTTCCTCATTCTTGGAGAACCGATGACAAAAAGGATACCTAACATATCTTCCGAAGATGCATGATTATGGATGGGATTTCCTATTTCAGGCTTTCAGTGTCCCTTCTCTTTTTCCACAATTTCAAAAAAACAATTAATAAGTCTTGATGCTGTATTTCTCTTACAATTGTGCTCCGAGAGATTAGTTTTATTGCGATATATGCCTCCTCCACCATACCTATAACTATCAATTTATCTTTTTTGGACCTCTTAATAGACAAAGAAAAGCCTCATTTTAAAACAAACTCTTGAGTTACTTTCAAAAGACTCGAGATTTTCAAAATGATTCTTTTGTAATTCCAAAAGATCATCTTGCATTGCATATTATGATTCAGTTTCTATTTCAAAAGTCATTGATTCTCTTTCACACATTATGCCTGTAGTTAAAAGAATAATGAAACCAGTCACATATGCATATATGTATGACTTGAGATCAAAAAATATTGATAAATATTCCATAAGTTATTTTGGCTTAATTACACTTGATACCTATAAAATGTTAGTAATTCATACCAGAATTCACATATATGCTAAGAATAAAATCAATTACAAGTGTACTAATTTAAAAATAACCAATTGTTACAAGCACTCAACATATTAAGAGAATTAATAGAATTACGTTGGTAAGCAGATTAATACTACCAAACAATAATTATTTCCATGTCAATTTTTTCCAGCATAAAAATAAGCTTCTCATCTGAATAACCATATTGATCCAACCAACTAAACATATGATTGTTTGGTGTCCAAATCAAATAAAAGATTAGAAACCATAATACCAAAGACTCTAAAATGACTAAAATTTCTTAAAACATCCAATCAAGAAAACCCAATATTATTGATAATAAAAAATAAAAATTTCAGGATCAAGATTGAAGAGTGATACTTGATTTTCAAATATCTATTGATAATAAAAAACAAATGATGATTATTGCAATGATTTCATACTCACTTGGAGCTAGAAGTTCAGAGTTCTCCAACTGATGATAATAGTTGCTGCTATAGTTTGTGAACATCAGAAAGTAAGGAAAAAGGATGATGAAAGACGCAATTGAGTGGGGGGGGAAATAAACTTAATTGGCATCATCTTTTTCCACCACAAAAGATTAGTATTGGTATTGAAAAAGTTCCTATGAAATCCTGATAAATAGTATGAGGTTTATAGATATTTTAGCGTAAAATATGTGGATTTACACTAGAGGGGTGTGGATTTAGTCCTATCCAATGATATACTATTTTTTGATACTATATGTGATTTGATCCATAATGATAAACAGTAAATTTTAGTATTTTTCTTTAATGTGTAGGTTAATATTGAATTAACTAAATAATGTAGTAGAAGAGGGGCAATAATGGAATCATATTATCTTCTCTATCCTAATATTAAGTTTTAATTATTGATTGGGTCTAAATGTTATAAGATCTGCTATAGTTCGTGAACATCAGAAAGTAAGGAAAAAGGATGATGAAAGGATGAAATTGAGTGGGGAGAAAAATAAACTTAATTGACATCATCTTTTCCCACCACAAAAGATTAGTTTTGGTATTGAAAAAGTTTCTATGAAATCCTGATAAATAGTATGAGGTTTATAGATATTTTAGCGTAAAAGATGTGGATTTACACTAGAAAGGTGTGGATTTAGCCGTATCCAATGATATACTATTTTTTGATACTATATGTGATTTGATCCATAATGATAAATAGCAAATTTTAGTGTTTTTCTTTAATATGTAGATTAATATTGAATTAATTAAATAATGTAGTAAAAGAGGGGTAATGATGGAATCATATTATCTTCTCTATCCTAATATTAATTTTTAATTATTGATTGGATCTAAATGTTATAAAATAATTAACCTTAACGGAGGTTAGTGTAAATTTCAACATATGGAGAGAGGTCAGTGAAACAGTAAAAATTCTTAGGGGAGGTTTCTGAAATTATCCCTTGTTTTTGTAGTGTATAAAAAGAACTTTTGGACCATGCAATATACACACACAAACATAT